CTCCCAAAGGGGTTGCTACATACTTTGTATTCTCTATACTCTCCTTAACTGGTATGTTCTGATTCAATTCACATTCCAAACTATGTGTTTCCTTTGTTGGTGCAGTTCATCAGTTTTTGATTTCCAGTTCAATGTGCTATTCTACTTAATATGCAATAAGCATGCCTAGATTACTGTATCACAATGCATGTTTAAGCTCATAGCTATTATACTCTTTGGCATGCCAATCCTGCTTTAAATAATTGGTTCACTAGCATGTCCCAAGTTGCATTGTGTGCTTATGATTTCACCCAACATGACCAAATCCTGCATGTTTTGTATATGATTAGTATTTTTAAAACCTTGAATGTTTCATGAAGTGTTTGGCTAGTCCAGTTTGTTCTATTTCACTAATGGGATCTTATTTGTGTCTTCAACCTATGTGTTCTCAACTTAACTTTGCAACTACAATCTGTGTATTTGATTTTGCATCACTAAGGTGCATTCTAGGTGCTCCCCCCACCTCCTTCCCTTGTGTGAGGTCTGTTCTGAAATTGTGTGTTCTCTAACTTTCTTTCTGATTGTTTTAAAAATTCTCCTCGTGTTTTCTCAAACTATTCCTACTCCAACTATGTTCTGATTTTCATAAAATTATTTCTATTACTAAGACCTTCTTTCTTTGTTTACCAAACATTTTCAAAGCCATTATGCACTCTCACATTACTCTTAGAATACTAGGTTCTGCCCCTCTGATATGTGTACTGCCTTGAGATCCTTGAGATCTCTCTGAACTCTGGTATGTCAGAGCTAGCCTTTCCACGCTGCACATAAGTCGGTTATTATTTGAGAAAAGGCCTAGGTTTGAGCAGTGCCCGGGATCCTTAAGATCCTTAGGGAACTCTGACACACCTAGACACGAAATTGTCTATGGAACTTTGGCATTTGAGACTATTGGATGCTTGGAAGTCATTTGGGCCTACTGTAGGCTCCCTATTGTCACGACCCCAGTTCACCCTCCGTGAACTGTCGTGACGCCACCTAGTCTCTACGACTAAGTAAGCCTAACAAATACGGCAAATGAACTAACTTACGGAATAAATAATCAAAAGCTGAAAACAACTGAAGGAAAAAATATTTAAACGCCGCTCGGCATATACACATAACTTCTCAAAATCTGATACAATACCCCAAAACTCGGAAACTCACATATCCACAAGCTGAGAAAAAACTCTACATAGCTCTAATCTCCGAATGTCTAGCAAGATCAAAAGTATAGAAGGGCTAAATTCTAAAATTACAGGAATAGAAAGAGACTCCTCAGTCTGCGGACGCGGCAGATATACCTCGAAGTCCCGTAGAATCACTTCGCCTCAAGAATGGTAAGCATGAGTAGAGGTACCTGGATCTGCACATGAAAAACATGCGCATAAAGGGCATGAGTACACCACAGTGGTACTCAGTAAGTGCCAAGCCTAACCTCGGTCAGGTAGTGACGAGGAAGGTAAGGGCCTTACTGAGGTTAATAAATAATAAAATGATAGGATAAGATAAAAAGTATAATTGAGAATCTATAGTAAGAGTCCATAGAGAATAATAAGAGTACAATAACGAAAACAGAATTAAAGGCAACCCACAAGGAAATACCACTCACAACAAGGATAATAACCCGGGATCTCATGGTATCTCGAGGATCTTTTGGTATCCTCAATATATAAACTAGGGATCTCTTACTATCCTCCATATATGCCAGGGATCTCTTGGTATCCCGAGGATGTCTCAATATCCTCAATATACATGCCAGGGATCTCTTGGTATCCCGCACCTCAGTCCAGATCATAAATACGTACGAGGGATCTCCCGGGATGCCGTCCCGTAGTCCCAAATTAAAACACACAACAGCAGCTCAAGAATATTAAATTAAATGCTAATTTCGTACTAAGTAAACAGTTAATGCTAGCCTAACATGGTTCACGTAATGCAATTAAGGCACTACTGGAAAATAGGCCTATGGCAACAGCAGGTAAACCGTTGCAATTGATAGGACAACCGTTGCAATAGATGTATTGGAACGGTTCAGCAACCGTGACATCCGCTCGCGTGCCAATTGATGTGCAGCAACGGTTTTGGCAATGGTTGACGCCACCGTTGCTATAGAGCCAGCTATTGCAACGGTTTTCCCTCTGTCTGAAGCAACGAGTATTCATTTCAACAACAACGGTTAAAACCCGTTAATGTATAGTTTATGCAACAGTTGTAAACTGTTACCATATTATTTACTATAATGGTTGAAAACTGTTAGAATATAGTTTATTGCAACGGTTATATATGCTATTGCAATGTTTATTTACAACTATTGTAAGGTTTCATTGCGCTATCGTAACGATTTTGTTTCTATTGCATCAGTTTGGCACACTTTATGGAACGGTTTGCAAGACCTATCGGAACGATTCAGAATGTCTATGGCAACAACATTTGTTCTTATTGCAACGGTTCTATTAGGCTATTTTAAACGTTTAATTGACATTACCACCTGGAAATATTTGTAATTATAACCTGGAAATTATATAAATAAAAAAGATAAAACACTTCATAATCTTTCATATCCAATAAGCTAAGAATAACGATAATAGCAAAATATTTTAACCCAATTACATAAGTTTTACAGTTCAACACTTCAAAAGTTAAAGTTTCAAATGTTATAACAAAAGACTCCAAGAATATCGACAACAACTCAAAGTTCTTCTTAAGTAAGGTCTAGATCTTCACTATCTCCATCTTCTCTTTCTTCAGTTGCTCCACCTTCTCCATCTTCCCTTTCTTCAGTTGCTCCACCTACAAAAGAGAATAAATAAAGTCATTAAATAAGAATGGGTATAGTAGAATTTTCTCTAATTGTAACTTTGTAAGTAGAGTATGTGTGTTTACAGTTAGATTATATTACAACTGAGATAATTCCATATAGATATATTCTCCTTTCTTAAATGCAAGGATCAAAAATTTCAGATCCTTTCTTAAGCATGATTCAGACCACTAGAGTGGTTGCAAAACATATAATAGTAGTTCTGACATGTAGGCACACAAACAAGGCTTCTTTTATTAAACACTCATGCCAACAACATCAATCAGAGTTCCCAAACATCACACTAAACATCTAGGTCAGCAGAGATATCAACATGAATAGGAGAGGCTAGATTTTAGTCTTCATTTAGCCTAACGAAGAGGGCATGTGACAATATGTAATCTATCAGATTTTCAAACTACCAGATCCAAACAACTTTAGATTCATAATCAAGTTCTTTTATAAACAGTGATGTCGCCAGAGATGTGATAGCAAACAATGACATTCATTTTAATTCGCAAGGGTAAGGCAAACAAATCACAATAAGTCATCACCTTGGATATGGAACTGATTTACTAGCAAGGTATGCCAATAAAGTTCAACACATGATTTTAATATATGTAGGTTATCATGATAGGCTATTATGAATCATACCAATTGTTTAATAGCTGGGCAGTGTTCTTAGATTTATTTGGTGACTCCCAAGGGCCTAAAACAATTGTTTAATTGCTGGCAGCATCAACTGGAAGTCAATTCCATTATGTATAATCTTGTTTGCAACTTATGTCCCAGTTTAAACCTTTTATACCAACAAAAAATCATACTCCATCCATTTCAACATATATGAGTTCTCAAAATCTCATCACCACTTCAAACGTGAGGAAGACTCATGTGAATCACATAATAGTGGGATTTATTGTTGGGATCTCGGTTATCATAGCAGTTGGGATCATGGTTCTGGCAGGGAGATCAATGGCCTTGGAGGCTAGTAGCATTTCAGAGGCTTAACTTCACAAGTACTGATATTCTTGCTTGTCTAAAGGAGTCAAATGTGATAGGAATTGGTGGCAATGGAATTGTATACAAGGCTGAGATTCAGAAACCACATTCTGTTGTAGCAGTTAAAAAGTTATGGAGAACAAATGGGGACATTGAAGCAGGAGAATAACTCTTTGCAGAGGTTGATCTTTTAGGCAAGCTTCATCACAAGAACATTGTTAGGCTATTAGGCTATCTTCACAATAAAACTAATGTCATGATGTTATCTGAATACATGCCTAATGGAAATCTAGGAGCTGCTTTACATGGGAAACAAGCTGCAAAAATGCTCGTGGATTGGTTGTCGAGATACAATATTGCTCTTGGTGTTTCTCATGGTCTCGCCTACCTTGACCACGATTGCCATCCACCAGTCATACATCGGGATGTCAAGTCAAGCAACATTCTTCTTGATTCAGATTTTGAGGCAAGAATTGCAGATTTTGGCTTGGCAAGAATGATGCTTCATAAGAATGAAACTGTCTCTATAGTAGCAGGATCATATGGCTATATAGCACCAGGTAAAAAAAATTCTTGAACCATAAAATGATTTCATTTCATGTCCATATAATTTATGAAATTCATTTTACTTCCTCTTTTCTTTTGGCAGAATATGGATACACATTGAAGGTTGATGAGAAGAGCGACATATACAGTTACGGAGTGGTGCTTTTGGAGCTTCTGACTGGGAAAATGCCATTAGACTCTTCTTTCAGCGAGTCCATTGACATTGTACGATGGGTTAGAAGGAAAGTGAACAACAAGGCATCAGAGGAAACATTAGATCATGATGTAGCTGGACAATGTAAACATTAGATACAAGTACGTACTGACCTCGATTATTACTCCCAGTAGATAGACGATTGATTAGTTGCACA